CAATTTAATAGATACTTAACGTAAGGAGGAGAGGAGAGAGAAAAGTAAAAGGGATTGAGTCAAAAGGTTACTTCTATGTGATTATGAGCTATGTAGAATTATTAGCGCAGAAAAGTAACCATGGAGGTTAAAGAGCGATAATCTTTTAAAAAGAATTAAATTTTAAATTCCATAAGATACTCGTCAAACTAACCTAACAATTGTAAGTGTGCCCAGTGGATTCCCAGAATCTACAGCAAGTTTGATAGATAATCGGCTGGCTTCATCACGCGTCATACGAAGAAGGCTGGAAAACGAGATAACCTGGAATATCGTTTTTTGATTTCCCTACTCTTGAGAGAAGCATAACGAGCCACCTCAAGCAGAGACCGTTCATCACGAACGATGAATTCTTTCAACGAAGCATCTCTCCACTCCTTGCTTTCTAATTGAGGCGTGATGACATACATGTTGTAGTTCTCCTAAACTTCCAAAAATACAATAAGATACCAGTTGAACCCAATAAACAAAGACAGAACCTGCAGCTTCTGAATGGAGCATAGATTTTCGTACACCTCCATATAATGCCTGTCATTACTCATGAATCGTAAAATCACACTTTTTGTAGCCGTCAGAAGTTTGATGCGCTTAGTTTTGGATGTCTAGAAGAAAAGTAACAATAAGACGGCGTGATTCTTTGAGATGCGAGCTATACACCTCGGTCCATAATCCAACAGCACTATCAACTTGACGTTTCCAATCGTCAACCAATCGCGAAGCCACCTCGATAAGAAACTGTTCACCCTTTTCTGTGCGAACTTCTTCCAAAAATTGTAATACTGTGGGATCCTAATTATTATAATTACTAGGCAAAATGCTTCAAGAAGAATTCAAAGGCACCGTTTCAGCTTTCTGAAGATATTCGGCATACAAGACGTAGACACGCGAAAGCGAAACTAAAGGAGTGTGCTCTTCATAGAGCAGACAGTAGGTTCCCACCATCTGTAACACATTATTATAACTTTGAAGTTATAGCAAAAGGCAGCACCTTGACAGCATCCAGAAGTCTTTGTGCAACTCCGTATCTGTCATGAGTGAACATGAATCGAATGAACTTGATGAAGTTATACTCAGACGCTAGAACAGCATCCAGCATGCCTAAGGGGGTTGAGTAAGACATTAGCATCTGACCCATTTCAGCCGTACGACAGACGGACTCCAATGATCTTTTGCTAGAACATATTGAATAAAGCTGACTGAAATTAATTCAATAAATTATAGTACAAACATCTCCAAATCAACATGAGGGTTTTTCAGAACCGACTGAACAGTTTCAGAGAGACGGCGACTCCATGGCAGATGAGCCCCTTTTGCTACCATGCAGACAGCTTTGCTTCTTAAAAATCAGTGAAAAAA